AAGGCTTACAAGAGGTCCTCGGGATAATTGAAGCAGCTCTCTAATTTTGGAAAAAATAAAACAAAAACTCTGGTTATGACTGTGTTGCAAAAGTCAATATTCTGCTCTCGTGCATTTTGGTCAGGAAAATTACATTATCTTCTCCTGTTTGATTCATCCCTTATTCATTCTAAGAGTTAGTGCACGTTGGCAATTATTTACACATTGTCTAAATGACACTATATTTTTTCACATTTCTAGTTTTATGTTTCAAGGTAAAGTCCTAATAAAGTTCTAGTTTCCCCCATTCTCCTATGAAATATTAGGCCCCATTTCAAGTGGCTTCATGGTAAGTGGCCATTTCTAGTACCACTTATTCTGAAATCACAAGGACCTTGTGTAGCTGCAAGCCTTTCTCTTCACCTGGTGATTGCCAAGCCTGACTGCACATTAGAGCCACTTGTGGCATTAACCAGTACTGAGGCTGGGACTCTCATTCAAACTTAATTCAGTCATACTCTGCTGGTGGGGATCCAGCTGAAACTCTCCAGGTGACTCTGATAACACAGCCAGGTCTGTGAGCCACTGAAGTGCTCACTTCTCTTTCATGCTGAGCTGGAAGAGATGGAGGCTAGCAGCAGTTGAACTGACTTGAATGAAGGAAGGCTGTTGGGGTTTGGGCCTCGCTAGAGCAAGGAGCTCAAAGAAGTAGGTGTAGGGTAATATGATGCTAGCTTTGTACAGAGGTCAAAAGCATGACACAGGCTCTCATAGGCAGCAATTTGCTTGCTACAGCCATTGTACTCTCAACACTGTAGATATATACCTTCTACTTTTGTGAGACTTAGAGAAAGTCCTTAGATCCCTCAGCTCTCTCCACTATACCCAAGTCCAGGAGAGTCTGGCTTATTTCTCTTGGAAATAGAGAGAACAAAATGGTACTGCTATAGTGAACACATCATGGTGGCCCAATGCTAAAGGTTATGTGATCTATGTCCTGCTGCACTGCCAGCACTCATCCCAGTGTTTGACATATCGTAATTGCTCAATAGCTACATTTTTGAATAAATGAACACAGCAGTATATAAGAAGTCTTATGATCAAAGTATAGAGGGAAAAAGATTGTTCACAGTTTGTGAGGAGGGAGAATATAGAGGTGTTCATTGTAGAGTTGGTATTTGAGCTGGCCTTTTGAAACCTATCTAAGCCATGGACAGGCAGCAATGGAGAGAAGGCATTCCATGCAGAAGAAACAACATGAGCCAAGGGTGAGAGGGGAGTAAGCACAGGGTGCCTTCAGGGAACAAGCAGCTGGGGGATGGGCTGAGACCTGAGTCCAGGAGTGCTATGGTGGATAAGACCAGAAACAAAGAGCCTTGAGTGTTATACTTAGAACATTCCACTTGGTTCTCCAGGCAGTGTGAAACCATCTGATTTTGTGTGTGTGTGTGTGTGTGTGTGTGTGTGTGTCTGTGTATGTGTGTGTGTGTGTGAGAGAGAGAGAGAGAGAGAGTGAGAGAGAGTAGTATAACACATTTGCTTTAGGAAGATTAGCTATGTTCTTTAGGAAACTCAACCATGGCAGCAGTTCTTTTACAAAGTACCTATTGACTGCCTGCAAAGTGCCTGGCACAATGCTAGGTGGAGTATGGCTGGGAGCAAGATTAATTGGTCAAGAGGTTAACGTTGCACAATAGTTAGGCTATTGTTGTAGTCCAGACAAAAGCTATTGAAAGCCTGAAGCAGCTTAGTGGGAGGCAGAGTGGAGAGGAACAGGAAGAATCTAATACATATTACAGAGGGAGAATGATAGAATTTGGTGACCGCTTAAGGTGGGGGTGACGGAAGGAGAAGACTGAATGACTAATGACGATGATCATTATTGGCATTTGAGCCGTTCCTTTGTGCCAGCTGTCGTGCTAAGTGCTTATGGACATCATCTACTTCTCACAATAACCCCTTTGATAGATGAGCACACCCAGGCTTGGCCAGTCACAGAAGGAGGAGCTTGTGGTATTAGAATATGAATCAGAGTCTAGCTATAGGAATCATATTCTAACCTCCATGCTCTGCTGCTTTTGGAGGGAAGAGGGAGGAACTTAGGTGTTTTTTGTTTTGGGAAAAGTAAGTCAGCAGCTCAGAGCAAGCACTTTCCTTTTAAAACATACATTTATTTATTTACCTGATAATGGGACTTGAACTCAAGGTCTGGACATTGTCTCAGCTTTTTTGCTCAAGTTTGGTGCACTACCACTTGATTCATAGCTTCACTTCTGGTTCTTTTTTGGTAACACTCTTGGGGCTTGAACTCAGGGCCTGGGTGCTGTCCCAGAACTTTTCTGCTTAGGCCTACAGCTTTACCACTTGCGCCACAGCTCCACTTCTGCCTTTCTGTTGGTTAATTGGAGACAAAAGTCTCGTGGATTTTCCTAATCAAGCTGGTCTTGAATCAGGATCCTCAGATCTCAGCCTTCTGAGTAGCTAGGATTACAGACATGAGATACTGGTACCTTGCTCCTGCTTCTGATCTTTTGCTGGCTAATTATATATGAGTTTCATGTACTTCCCTGCCTGGGCTGCTTTGAATCATGATCCTTATATCTCAGCCTCCTGAGTAGTTAGAATTATAGGCATGAGTCCACCAGCACTCACCTTTGAACTTTATTTTTATTCTACTGGGGTTTGGACTCAGTGTCTTGTGCTTGCTAGTCAGGTGTTCTACCAGTTGAGCCACAGATACCTTAGTTCTCCTTTCTCCCATTTTGTGGTAAGTATAGTGGCACAAAACCCTTTTAGCAGCCCTTACCCCAGTTCTTCCTGAGTATCCCTCACTTCTGTGGTGGGAGATGAGCTTGTTGCAGTAGTGTGGAGGTGGACAAGACTAGAACCAGAGGACATGACAAATGGGGAGAAGTGGGAGTCTCCAGGTCAGGTGGGACCTGCTGATCTTGTTCAGCCCACACTGAGGTAGATTGATTGGTCAGTTGCTTTTCAGATTTGAGCCATCACTTAGGACTTAAGGAGCTTCATGTGGAAATCCTGAGTCTTGCTTCATTTGAAGAATGAAAATTTGGCAACAATGGGCCCACATTCCCACTCTTAGGGCCAAGCTTCTTTTTTAACATGTACCCTTCAGACTCAATCACTCCTGGTTGAGTCTGCACTTTTTCCCAGCCCAGCACACTTCTCTCCTTAATTATCTGCCTGCTCTCTGGTGGTGGTTGGCTTTGTGACTCATATGTAGAATGGCCTATGACATAGTTTACATTTTCTTCTGAGATCTGAGCTGATGGGCTGGGCACAAGGTCAGCAAGCTAGACTCCACAAAACAAAGCCACAAGGGGAAGGTTATCATCAAGTCTTACCATTTATTTCTTTATGGGGTTAAACAAGAGCAGAGAGGCCTCTGCCCCACAATGCAACGAAACAGAAAGCAGTACACATACAGAGACTCTCACTGGAACACAGAGGCAGAAGTAAGAGGGAGGGCAGAGACAACTGAATTATAGCCAGGTAAGGGAGGAAAGGATGGGGACTACTAGGAAACCAGCGTGGACTCAATCATAGGAACTAGTGCAAGAAAGTCCTACTCATGAAGCACAGTGTAGAAAATGGCATAAGAAAGCTGCCCGGCTCTGCTGCCTGTGATGGAGGGCAGGGGCAGTTGGAGAGGTGGTGGAAGGTCAAGTGGTAGGGGTAGATGGGGACAGTCAGATGACTTTGAGGTGGAGTGTGGTGCCCCTTTCCCCTGCCACTGGGCAAGGCCTTGGGCTGGTCTGAGCCAGGGGTCTCCTGGGCACTTGGTGAGGGAGAAGGGAGGATGGGAGTCTCCAAGGGCCCATTCCTTGGGGCCGTATGGTCCCTCTTTGCTGCCCAGTCCCTTTTCCCCTCCTGAGGCTGCAGGAGTTAGAAGGCAGTAACTAGGGTCTCTCTGGAGCCCGAGTGCCTATCTTTCACTTATACATAAGCACATCTGGAAAGGAGCCAGCACCTCTTCCCCTTCCCGGCTGAAAAGAGCACTCTAGGGATGGGGTATGTGGTCAGGCCCGAAGTGCTGTGGGCCAAATGGGAGTGTATGGACAGGGCACAGGGCCGGGGGAAAGGCTTTGAGATATGAGAAACTGGCAGGGAAATACTCCCCAGGCTCATTAAGCTAACTTGGGACCCAGTCAAGGAAGTTCTTCTCTCCTAGGTAGGCTTCCTATTTGTCCCTGAGCTGAGCAAATTCAGCTTTCTTCCCCTGCCTCAATCCCCTAACATAACTCTAGGACCACCCTTCCCCACCATAGGACACCATGTGTCCTTCTATCCCTTCTGGCATTGAAAGCCCCTGGCCTGTCCCACACACTTATGACTCTTATTCTTATCAGCTTTTCTTGGCTTTCAGATATCTCAGATAATATAATCCCAGCAGACCAGTGCAAGGCTAATAGCCTTCTTCTCTCATCTAGTCCCTAGCCTAATTAAAGAGCCTATGAAGGGACAACACCACAATGTCTTTCATCAGTTTGTGCCAGCTTGTGAATTTTCTCCAGCAAGGACAAGGACAGGGATGTCTGGGGAAAGGGACCCACTAGGAGTCTGGTTGTTCTACAGTTGGGTTAGTAACCCATGGGGTCAGGGATGGGAAAGGATAAATACTCTTTGGTAGGCTGGGGATAGGGACAGGTAGGGATGGGGGAGGCTCATCTCTGGAGAGCACTGGGACAAAACCACCAGGCTCTCCTTCATGGAGGCCTGGGCTAGGACAAGATAAGGGAGTATGAGGACCCAGGCCAGGCCTGACCCACTTGGGCTCAAGTCCCTCCTCCCCATGGAGATCGGAAATGAAAGGTCCTTGGCCTCAAGGCCAAGATCTCCAGGGCAAGAGTGGCCCTTGAGAGTGTGTGCACCTTCTGTAAGATATGGCCCTCCAGACAGCGGCAGTCCAACTGTTGGCCCTCAGCCTTCTGTTTTCCACCAAGCAACTCATCTCTTGTGCTCTTTCCCCAAAGGGATCCTTATGCAACTCTCTGATTTGGGCCAGGTGGCTGGAGCCAATTTGGCCATTTCTTCAGGCCCCCAGTTTGAATCTTGCCTGTCCTCTTCTTCCCCTATCTTCATTCTCTTTCACCATTCATTTCATACCCCAGCACTACCCCTCATTGCCTAGAGGGTTAAGGGCACAGCTTAACCAGAGCCCCAATACAGCTGCAACTGTGCGCACCTCATCTTCCAGTCTGACACTTCACTTCTGATAGCCCCACATGGGCCAAGGGGCACTGAAGTGGCAGGAGGGCAATTGCACTGTCTGCCGTTGCCTTTAGGGATATGGGCAGGAGGGAATTAAGGATCTTGGCAACAAAAGGAATGCTGAGGGGGAAAAGAGTTTCTCCCCTCTATGCCCCCCAACATTCCCTGCAGGGCTGAGATTGGGTGAGCAGTCTCCTTCCCTGGGGTCAGGGCTCTCAGCAGGGGTGGGCAATTCCAGCCCCCACTCCCCCTATTTTTTTTTTGCTAAGTCCCATAGGTGGGGCTTGGGAGGGGGCACCTGCTGCTCCTATCTTTTACTCCGGGATGAATTTATAGCTCCCTGGGGCCCTCTGGCCATTCTGTTGGAGCTGCTTTGGGTGTGGGGGTAGGTTGGGGGCTAATTTGACCCCCGTTTCCCCCACCTTCCCACCTGGTCCTCCCATGGGAGGAGCTCCCTCCCCCCCACCTGGGGGGGGGCTGGAGCTGATGTCAGTGTGTGGTGGAGGTCTGTCCTCCCTTACCCCTGTCACTCTTCTTGTGTCAGGCCCTCCTCTAGGGCAGGCAATGTCTCCAACCCCAGTCCCCCACCACCCTGGTTGCTGGAGAAGGACACCATGGTATGGAGGAGCATGAGGACAAGGACACAGAGCCGGATCCTGCTGGGGCTGAGACGGGAGCCCCCAGAGACTGGCAGCAGGGAGGGCTTGTGGCTGACTCGGCCTGGGGGATCATGGCGGGGATAGTAGTGGTGGTACTGTTGGTGGTAGTGGTGGAAATAGGAGTGGTGGAATTGCTGGTGGTGGGTTTTGGGGGTCTCAGACTCCTTGAACTTCTTCTTCTCCGATTCGCAAGAGACCCACTGCACGTCACAGCACTTGGTTTCCGGCCGCTTTGGTGAAGTATCCAGCAACCCTGCCAATGAATAAGGAAGGTGGGGTGGGGTGCTGGGGGTGGGGGCAATGGTTCTGCCTTACCTGGAGAGGAGATTTGCAAAGCTGGGACTGTTCAGGTAACTGAATGCAACTTCTTTCTCCTTGGCACTCAGTATCTTTCCTTTCTGAGCCCTTCTTTCCCAGGTATCCTAGTCAGTTTCTCTGGGAAACTGACTCCCTGGCTGAGCATATTTTGCAGAGATGGCTACCCTGGTCTTTTTTTTTCCTATTCCATTTGGCCCCATCCCAACCGATGGATTTTGCTGCTTACTTGTCCAACCACTGATCTCCTTCTAGCCTATCTCCCCTTCTGTCCTCCTTACTCCCACTCCCCTGACCTGGTTCCTGCTCTGAGTTCACACCTCCTCCCTCTTCCCCAGTACCCAGCCTTTACCTGTACAGATAAAACCAGGGAGCCCTCCGTATACCATTTCCTCATTGTCGGGGAGGATAAAGGGGCACCGGGTCTGCACCTCCAGGCAGTATTGCTTGCAGGGCACCCAGCGCTGGCATTCCTGCTGGGTCACACTGAAGTATTCTGAGCACAGCCAGGCCTTGTAGACAGCCTGTGGGGAGAGGAAAGAGCATCAGTCCACATGTCTGCCCCTTCCTACCTTCAGAGCTGAGGAGAGAGTATTTTTGGTCTCTCAAGAAAGCCCTGGCCAACTAACCCTAGGACCCAAGGAGGTGAAGAGGAAAAAAGGTTTGCATCATGACCCCTAATCTTCCCCTAAGATCTCTTATCTCATAGCCAAAAGTCCCAAGTTCCCCAACATACAGTCATCCAAGACAGAATTTGCTTTTTGGCAAAAAATCACAAAATTAGTCCTATGTCAAAGCTTTACCAGTCTCTACTTCATCCTACCCTAGCATCTTATGTTCAGTTCAAAGAGGTGTTTTGATTTATCTAAGGTTACCCATATATAACAAGGCAAATTTCAGTTGCATTCTGTTTAGCAAACATTTCCTTAGCTGATTGTACTGTTTCTAAATTCAAGAAAGAAATGGAGAGACTAATCTTGCTCATTAGGGTATTATGTGGATCAAATAATATGGTACATAAGAAACTGTTTTGTAAACTCTAAAGGGCAATACAAATTGGAGGGGTTATTTTAATAAAAACCAGAATCTGCCATACCAGGCACCACATGTGCTTTTGAGCTCCACTTAATCCATGCTCTCTCCTGTTGGCTTCAGCCCTGATGTAAGTGCAGTCATCATGGATACAATGCCATTGCTTTTGCTTTGCAGTTTCACTTTCATGGATCTACTATGTGCCCTTCATCTAGCCCATTGCTACCAGATACTGGGTCCTAGTAAGGAAGCCCCCCTGCTCCAAACCATAGGTCCTATCAAGCCCAGGGTTTCTCAGCAGCAATACTATAGACATTTTGAGTCAGACAATTCTTTGTTGTGGGGGTTATCCTATGTGTTGTGGGATACTGAGAATACCACTGTCCTCTAGATGCCAGTAACATTTTCTCTTCTCCATTGTGAACAACAATAAATACCTCCAACCATTGCCAAATGTACTCTTAGTGGCTTTGTGTAGGATACTATCATGTTTTGCCTGTATGACAGTATCCTTCTCATGTTTCAGGTGTCAGTTTAAATATCACTTCCTCAGACTGGGTCTCCCTGACCACTTATACCAGAGGATGCCATCCTCACTATTCTTTTTTCTTTAATCCTTATTCACTACAAAAAACAAGTATTAATTTGTCTCCACTTTTGTTTTGCCTCTGTTGATTCCACTGAAAGGTGAGCTGCATTTGGGCAGACATGGGTTTATCTATTTGCCATTGTCTATTAGTCATTATGTCTTCATACAGTATCTGTGACCTGAATGAAGAGGATGAGTAGATGAGAATAGTCTCTTCCCCATGGAAACTCACATCACATAAGTAGACCACAACTAACTTGAATAGCTGGCATATGACCTGTACTATAGATGTCAAACTGTGTATCATTGGCTGGAAGCAAATAGAAAAGCGGGGAAAGAATCCAGGGAGGTACTAATAGTTGAGCTTGAACTCAAAGGAGGATTTTACATATAAGGTAGAGATGAGACAAAGGGGCATTCCATAGTGAGGTTACAGCTTGTGCAAAGACATTGAGAAGAACGATTACATGGTATACCAAGAAAACAGAGAATGGTTTTGTATGAATGGGATGAGAAGCTACCACTTGCCTGTCCATGGATATTTAAGTTGTTGTTGTGGTTAAACAATTCTCCACTGAATACCTTTTTATCACTTACATACTTGTCTCCAATTCTATTTATATATATTCCTAAAGATGATATTATTAGGTTATAATATACCTGAAAAGGAATGAGAACACAATAGAGGAAGGGTGAAAAAGAATGGGTGAAGGTCAGAGGCAGTCCAAGAGAGAGCTAGGGGTAAAGGAAGCACTAAAAGGAGCTTATAGGACAAGAGGAAGTGAAAGTGGGTGGGATAAGGGAATAAAAGAGAAATGTGTAAGAAGGTACTAAAGCATAGGGAGTAGAGGGCTAATGAATGCTGGCAATTATGGTGGTAGTGAAAAAGCAGGGTTGTCCGGTAGAAGACTGGAGAATAAGAGGGGGTTATAAGGGCGGTAAGGGGGTGAACTATGAGTGAAAAAAATAAGAGGGGAGTTGAAGATGAGAGAAAGGTAAAAAGTAGGGAGATAAGAGCAGGTGAGGGCATAAGAAGGGGTAAGGTGAAGTTGGATTGCTAAGGCAAGAGTAAGAAAGGGAGGAAGACAGATCAAGGGTGGATGAGAAGGAATCAGGATAGCTGAAAAGGATGGAAGTATACAGAAAGAGGTAGAAGAGTTCAGAAAGGTTGGAAAAATAGAAATAAGGCAGGAAAGAGAGTAAAGTCTTCTAAAAGTAAATGGCCCTAATACTTCAAAGACTGCCCTCTGTCTTCTAAGCTCCCAAATGCCAAAAAATTAATTGAGTCTCTGTCTACATTTGCTTGTGCATCTCTTCCAGCCTGGGCCTGGAGTCTACCTCACTCTTAACCCAAATTGTGGAGGATCGACCCTCCACTCCATGTCCGTGAGTGGAGTGGGGGCTCACAGGGCCACTGGAGAATGGCTCTGGGCTCTTTCAGGTTAATATTCTTGCTTCTAGATAAAGAGGCCCTAGTGGCATTCTTGGCCTCTTCACAGGCAACTGCAATTAGCCCAGTAACAAGCTATAGTGGCTGGGCACTCCCTTATCTGCTCCCAGAGGGAGGGAAGAAGGGAGAGAGAGAAGGCAGGGGAGAGGAGAGGGGTGGCCTGACAGTGGGAGTGCGGCCTTTCTCCTTAATTAGACGACCCCCCAGTCTCCACACCCCCAGCCAGAGTCACCATGGCAACAAGTGGGTGAGCAGATTGCCTGGGGAGGACACCAGGCCTGTGGGTGGTGAGGCAGGAACAGGCAAGGAGCTAATGAGGAGAATGGAGGAAGAATAATGACATGGATCTCAGAGGTAATCCAGTTTCTTGGCCCCACAATAGGCCACCTGAGCCATTGCTCGTCCAAATGCTTGAAGGTGGCCTGCAGTCCTTTTCAAGTAAAAGGTCTGGCTCTCAGCGCTACTCCCATCCAGGGCAATAACCCTACCTTAGATTCTATGTCTCTGTTCTCTAGATAGTCTTTTTTAAAATTTTGGCTGTACTGGAGTTTTAACTCAAAGCTTCAAGCTTGCTAGGTAGGGGCTCTACCACTTAAGCCACATATCCAAACTCTCAAGATGGTCTTAACCTGAGCTTGCCCTGTTTCATCAGTATAAGACCTGAACCAGGGAACTTGCTGTCTGGGATAGTCACAGGGTCCTGGGCACTCATCTGAGAGGACAGGGAGAGGGCCAGAAGGGCCAGGCTTAGAAGGGTTGTGGGGCATATTACAAAGAATAGGAGGAAATGTCTTAGAACTAGATAACAGTCAGTTGGGAGACCTGTGAAGATCTTTTATTCTCACTTTCTCAGCTCTGTGTGCATGTTAGAATCACTCAGAGAGCTTTTAAAATGCCAAGCTTATTTCACCCCTGGACCAACAAAGTCGGAGTCCTTGCAGGTGGGGCCCACATCTACAGGTTCACAAAACACCTCAGGCAATTTTAGTATGCAGTCAGGGTGAAGAACCATTTATAGCTGGCAAAACAGATCCAGAAAGGGGGAAGGCCTCATTCCTCTACAGGTATATAAAATAGTGGCAGAGGGAAGAACCTAAAACCTGGTTTTGCCACTCTGACTCTAGGGATCTTCCTAATGAACCACCCTACCAGCAACTAAAGTCTAAACTAGGGCAGGACACAGAGGCCTGGGGGAGGGGACAGGAGCTGTGGAGAACCAGGCCTGCTCTGGGCTTCTCAGAAGCCTGGCAGTAAGGTTTCTCTATCATGCCTTATTTCTCTGAACTGGACCATCCTAAGCCCTTAAAGTAGTAGGGGGAGGCATGGGTGGGATGGGAGGCCCTGACCTAGCACTGCCCTCCTTTCCCCACCTTAGTCAGGCCACCGCTGGGCTCAATCAAGTTCTGGCAGCTACAGCCCAGTTGCTATGGGAACTGGGAGGGGAAGGAAGTAGGGAGTAACTAGAGGAAACACCAATTAACCCAAAAAGGAAGCTGGGAATGTTGTCCCACTCTCCCTCCTAGCTGGGTGTCAGAGCCACTCCTGAAACAGGAGAGGCAAGATCAAGGGGACCCCCACCCATCTTAGCCTCTGCTGTCACCAGTTTAGGGAGAAGTGGGAAGACCTGGCCAACCTAGCCCGGCTTCTAGGCTTGCAGCCTTAGCCAGGGTATGCTTTCTACAATCTAACACACAGAAATGCCAGACTTCACTGAGTGTTGCATGAATGCACACTCACATCCCAAAGCTGGTACTCTGGGTCAGAGAATTTAGAAAGAGGAGGCCATTCTAAGTTTCTTGGTATTGGAGCTGGTAAATCCTCCAGAGAGGAGAGCTACAAGAAGTATATAGTTTCCTTCTTGAATTCTACCTTGCTTCCCTCCCTTGGGCTGTTTCCCCATCCAAATCCTCCCTATAGGCCTTCTCTTCATGGCTGCTTGTCTTCTTTATGTACTCCTGGGACCCTTGGCCAGGAGCTATAGCAGTAATGCTTGTGGAAGCATAGCAGACATGGGGGCTGGGCCTAGAATGAAAGCCAATGTATACTTTAGTAACCACTTCACCCCCAATTTTACCCCTGGGGAAACTCAGGCCCAGAGAGAGGGATTGTCTTGGCCATGTTAATCCCTCACAAGCTAGTTTCTTACCAGGGGCTGACAGAAGAGGCGCCTTGAAAGATAACCCGATGTCACCTTATGCTGCATTGACCAGCATGCCTAGAATGATGTGAAGGACACAGTTGGCAAGTTCTGAAAAAAACAAGTACCCCTATTCATGACTCTGGGCTTTCAAAGTAAGGTTAGTATCAGTCTCTCCAACCAGAGGAAGAAGGTCATGGATATAATTCTGGGGACAGCAATTGTTCCATTGGCTTTGGCAGAATCAGAATAGGATTAGAAGCATTATAGGGCAAATCCATGAAGATGGTAGGGCTTTATTTAAGTGGCTATAAAA